CCCCAAAACCCCAAAACCCCAAAACCCCAAAACCCCGCTTGGTTGAATTTGATTAAAAACTGAGATGAAATTTAATTGCTTTCTGAGGATTATTAAGAAATATATATCTATTCATTCAATATCGTTCCTTTTAAATTAACGATATGAGTTATTGTATACTTTGATGCTTTATTCTCTCAATACTATTGTTCATTTCTTTTAAGCTTTGCTGGCAGTAAATTTCTGCATTACTGGCGACATTCCAATGTCACAACCTTACATAGAAATGTGTGTGCTTTAACTGCTATCGTTTGTTTCAATTATTGCTGCAACCTTATTAGTCTCTGTAGTCTTCTAGATTATTTTCTGCTATCTTTCCTTTTTTCTATTTAATGCTCCATCTCCAAGGGGGCTTGAAAGCTAAATTATTTTAGATTCATATTCAATTTTTACATCTAACAGACGATTGGGAATTTAAAGTTGTTCATCCTTTAATTATTCTCCTCTGCCTGTGTTAACTTGCAGAGAGTTAACGGCTCCAGCTTTATTATTTGCTTTAGACCCTTCTCCTTAAAATAAATTGCCAGCATTTCCCTAAATACATAAATCATTACTTAGGAATTACATCATTAACTCGGTTAGTTTCTTCTGTTTGATCACCATTCATATCCCTACTTGATGCAGCTTAGCTTTAGCTGATTGCAAGTTCTCTCAAAATTTGAACTAGGTTGTCTAGATCATCCTTGTTTTACTCATAGAGATCGAGTAATTATTAATCATCCTTCAAAACAGCATCTATACTATGATTAGAGCCAAAGCATAAGGAGTATTATACATTTCAGGTTTATTTTCTGGTCATGATTAATGATGTTTTGCTCAAACATTTGAGTGATGAGAAATAAGAGTCTAGCATGGACTAGATGCAATCTTTCAAACGCAGCTTCCATTAAAATTACTTTATTTTATGTAAATAATACTAATATATCAATTATTTATGAAATTAAAATTTATTACATTTTGCAGCCATTAGGGGTTTTGGGGTTTTGGGGAGATCGGAA